TGTCAAACTTTTGGTGTCGATCATTCGATTTCATCCTGGACACTACAGAAAATGGGCTTAAAGTGTAAAAAACCGAACTTCTCCTTTAAGATGTCCACTTTTTTTGTCATGCAGCCTGGCGCAGCACCCCAGCTGTGTGAAATGTCAGTTTTGGGAAATATAACACTTCCAAGGCTTATGTCATTTTCATATATTTGCCACATCTCTCTGTTTAGTAGGAATCCTCTGCAGTGTTTTAAAAATGAGACCTCAGAACTGGATTTTAAAAAATTAAGCTAACTTCTCTGAGTGTCCTATTCAAAGCCCCGACTTTAACCCTGTTGAAAGATTCTGTGCTGTTTGAAAGTTAGGTCTGTAGCAGTAAACCAGCCAGTTAAGGCGAGGCCAACCGATCGTCCCCAGAACAGGTTCAGAGACTTCCTTTGTGTCCAACTGTCCTTCACTCGCAGGAGCTCCCACGTGTCAGATCTTCCAGATGGTTTCTCCATTTGTTCACCACTTCTCCTTCAGTCCAGTCTGGAGTTCCCGTTCAGCCAGAACCAAACGGAGCTCCAACACCGGAGCGAACAGGGACGCATCTCGCCGTGTGGAGCAGGTCAGTTTGTCCTACTTCCAGGAAATACTTTGTTGCATAGATGAAACCAAGTTCACATCGAGGAATTTGGAGATCTGATTTACGAGGCCATGAAGGATGCGCTGAAATGAGGTCCAAGCAACTCAGTGTGGAATAAACGCATAGATAGAGCTACAATGAAAACATTCAGATGGAAGCGCAGAAAACGTCCTAGTCAAAGTCCAAGCAGGAATTTCGGGAAAATTGATGTTTCCAGAAGCCGATTATCCAATCTGAATTTTGCTATTAAGGAGCACAATTCCAGTCTTTAGAGATGAATCCCAGCTGACCACAAATAAATACTTAAAAGTATTTATTTTTACTTTAAACATTTCAAAAACCATTTAACATGTTATTCCAATTTGATGATGATGAATACATGAAGGTCTTTTGGTTTTAAGTAAATATGATTAAAAAATGCCATTAAATATTATTACTGAAGAACTGGTTTAAATTGGAAATCAGCTACAAGAATATCCAACCTGTGCAGCTCTCACTGCTTTTGGTGATCATTTACTGATGGTGTATAAATTGTGAGTTTGAGTTATAGTTGTTATTTATAAAAGCAAAAACAAGCAGAAGATTGTAGTGTTTAAAACAACATGTACATTTGATTTAGGTTTGCTTTTTCTTACGATCATTAACTTCCCTGTCAATCATCTTCCAGCCATCAGCTGGTGTAATGTACCACATCAGCCACTAGATGTCACTGCCAACGGCTACAAACATGGAGTCACCAAGAAAGTCCTGGGAACACCTAAAGCCAGGTACAGCGGGTATAGAGTGTGGAGGTAATGGTCTGTTTCCCTTCTTTGGGTCATTAAAGTCTTGCTAATGTCTCCCTCAGGTCGCTTCTCTGCAAACTGGAGCTTTTTCATTCGTTCCTGTCGCTCGTAGCGGCAACTGACCCCTCAGCTCTGCCTGACTCTCTCAGGTAACAGACTCTGTCCAGTGGAAGGGTGTTTTTTATTTATTGTGTGGATTAACTTTATTCGTAGAGAGTTTAATAGTCACTTCTTTAATGTTGAAAACATAACTACCAGGACAATCCAGCATTGGATGACCTCAGACATCAGGAAATGTGTTTAAGGAAAAAGACATTTTATTCATGTTAATTCCTGCGTTATAACTTCTTATGAGTTATAATTTAATAGCTCGAACTAGAGCTGAAAAAATTGATTAATTAATTATTGAAGCTATGGTTAACTTATTTGGTAATGGATTGATTAACTAGAGATGTACAGACTTGAACATATGCTACATGCTGAAAGGGGAACCCTCCTAGAGCAGTAATTATAGTTAAACTGTAAAAAATACATCAACTCTTTACATTTAGGATTAAAAAATCTTTTTTTGTGGATGAATTAGCTCCATCCAAAACTCCTCTAGTAGCAGAGCTTTAACTTCACTTAATTCAGTGTAAAATCTTCTTAAAGGCACATTTTTCTATCTGATTATTTATTTAAAAATATATATTTTGATCTCATTGCCAGTTTTACAGTCAGTTAATTCTAGACTTCACTTTGACTTTAATCATCTTATTGTTGCTTTAAATGTATGTTTGAATTTGCAGCAGAGCTTAAAACCTAAAACAAAACAAAATGACGACTGTAATTTGGCTGTGAAATGCAGTATTTACTGTTTAGATTTGATCTGATCCACTCCTACAGGTTTTCCTTTCACTTATGATCATATCTGAGCCAGGAGGTCCTTCAACATAATATCCCAGAATACCCAAAGTGTTTTCTTTAATTAAGAAAGAAAGCTTTCAATGAGAAAATTAATTTTATGGTTTCCTTACTTTGAATCCATCTTTGGATCAGCAGTGGTTTAAATCAATAATGCGTCCCCTGAACTGATGGAAACACCAGATCTAGGATGGTGTGCATATTCTGAATGTGTGTCTGGGCTCTGATTGTTAGCTCTGTAAAGCAGCAACAGAGCTCCTTCTGTTCCTCAGCGGTTCAGCAGTTAACCCGATCCACCTCTTCCTTTGCACAGGTTACACATTACTCCCCACCTGAAAACCAAACTGCAGTTTCCAGTAGCACTGTTAGCAAACCAAAGAGTCACCAAGAAGACTTTATAGAACGTTTAGACAAAGTTTCAGACTAATGATTAATCTGATGATTTAGATCCAAACTGTTCAGCAGCATTATAATCACTGAAGGACTAATAAAAACTGCTGACTTACATCTGCATCTCAGTGAATTAGAATATGATTAAAAAGTTAATCTGTCTCAGATATCCAATCTAAATAGTGAAATATATATGACACAATAATGTGAAAAAGCTTTATTACCAAATATTGTTTTACACCTACAAGGAATTAACTTTGATAAGGTTCCACATGCAGACAAGCAAACAATGCAACTTTTTGCAGAGAACTACTACTACTACTTACATTAGGAATGTTCTGGATACATCTGCAGGGTTCCCGCAGGTCCTTAAAAAGTCTTAAAAGGCATTGAATTCTTCAAAATAAAACTAAGGCCTTAATTGGTATTAAAATGTCTTAAATCAGTCTTTCGTAGGTCTTAATTTTTAAAACATCATAAATAGGATTATTTTTATTATAAGTTATTTTTGTAATCTAAATAAAACATTAAAATTGACCTTTTAAAAAAAAAGAATAATAATAATAACGGCTCGCCATTATTGGTTCCGTCCCGATAGCAGAACCAATAAAAGCGTTGTTGTGGCCGGTACATTTGGGAGATGCACCATTAACTTTTTGTCTGGAAAATATGAGCAAGTGTAAATGTAACGAAAATTGGCTCCAGCCAAGAGTTTTCTCCATGGCTAAAACCAGGGAACATACATGAGGCACAGTGGATTTTGTGCAAGAAGTCATTCAAGCTTGGAACGAAGGGAATTAAGGCAGTGGAGTCGCACATGCGAAGCGCAAAACACAAAGCGTCCAAATGGAGTTACGGATAAACAGCCGGTATTTCTCAGTTTTGTTCCACCCTTGTCTCTGCAATGCCTTCACTTATCACCAAATCAAACATACTAAGAAAACAATGCAAAAAAAAAAAAAAATAGCTGCAAAAAAGACTTAGCATTGGTTATGTTGTGGCTTTAAAACTGATTTGTTTTGTTCCCTGCTAAAACAAAGTTTTTGAATTCAGTTAAATACACAGGAGAACTTTTTTATGATGACTATGACCTGGATGACTAGGAATCTTCACCAGCATCGTTTACATTATCTGTAATCATACTGATAAGAGAAATCGTATTGTTTTAACATGTTACTGTGGGGGTTTGTGACTTTATAAAATACATTTTTTGTGATTATTAAGTTAAATTGGATTGAAATGTGATGCCCTTTTTTGTTGCAGCTTTAGGGGTGATAACCTGAAATGGAAGCACACAGTCCAACCTTTCTTCTATGTCTGTTCAGGTCAGGTGAGCTGCACACGTATTGGGACTATAAGCAGGCCTCCCAGCCGTACCAGCAGGCCTGGCAGCAGCTGCGTCAGCAGGCCTTCCCTCTGTGGCCGCGCAGCGACAGAAACCTCCTCCTGTTTCACTGAAAACCGACTCCACAGCAGGAATGTCCTCGATGAAAAAAACGACTTTGTTGCAGTGGGGACTCTGAGGTCCCATGCAGAAACATCCGCTGACCGGCAGAAAACTCTGATTTCAAGCCGAGTACAGCAGAATGATTGGTTTCTCATCACACCCTGTCTGTTAGCTCAGCTGCTCTGCAGCTCAGGGCGAGCAGCGGGACACCCCGCGCTGCCCTGCTGCTCAAAGACTGATGTCTGCATGTCTCTGCTTTACAGAGCATTTCTGAAAACACAGCTGGGATGTACCTGCTGGATTAGTTCAGCTTTCTGCTTCACATTGATCTGTCAGGTTTTACTTCACCTGATGGAGATTCTTAGACTGTTGGTTTATTGTTGCTTTTTAAAAAATTTCAGCCTGTTTTATGTTGTCAAGCAGCTTCTAACTGAGCAATATTTTGATTCTACAGGTCGGTTATTATCTGAATGGGGAAGCTGAACCAGAATAGTGTTGATTATTACCATATAATAAGATGGGGGTATTTTTATTTTTAGGCCATGTTTCTTTGGATAACTTTTATCCTTCCATGACTGAAATATAGTCTCAATTACTTGCTTTATTGTCCAGACCCCATAATTTAAAAACATTCAGTCTACATAGAAAACTTTATTTAGATTTCAGCTTGGATTATGAATTCATCTACATTTATTTCTGATGAATAAAAAGTTTTGCCTTGTTTGCTTTATGTGCAACAATCCACCATAAGTAAAATCATTGGCTTCATTATCGCCGTGTCGCATTAGTTCTGATGGAGTAGTGCTTCTTTTTATGAAAACGTCTGAAGTTGGTGAAATGATGTTTGCTTATCAGGATACTAGCAAACCAGTTGACCTAGAATGTTTTTTGTGTTTCTTACGCATCTTAAAAAACCAGAGAGAAAATGTGCAAAGTGTAGATAAGTTAATCATAAAGGACACAACGATCTAAACTACCAAACATGAGGGCCTTGTCTTACATGATTATTTCAATTCTAGTATAAAACAAACACAAACTGTTCCCTCTTACATTGTAGGCTTTTATTTATCAGAACATAATAAAACAATCTACTAAGTGTATATATTTAACAAAAAGGAAGCCGTTTCCATAGGATTTTAAGATATTAGGAGCAGCTAGGTCCTGCTGCTTAATCTCTGTAGATTTAACGATCATCCTTTACCCCCCTAATGTTCTCTCACCGTCCCAGGATGGAAAGACATCAGCAGTGACTTTAAAGAAGCATAGATGCTGAATCACAAAGGAAACATTTAACAGTAAGTAAAATGATTCCTGGCCTAGAGCGTATAAACTGAAGCAGCTGGGCTGCAGACTTTGCAGGCCTCAGCAGGTCCAGTTTTGGAGTTTAGGACTAAATACCAAAAATAATTGTAAGGAATCTTTAACAAACATATAGAGTAAATTTTGTTTCATTTTTGTGGCTAGATAAGAACAGGTTTTATAAACGGCAATGTAGAAAAATTAACATTAGGAAAAAATAACTTTAGAACTAAAAAAAATAGATTTAATCATCAGGTTTTCCCAGATTTTTTTTTTTTTTTTACAGAATTTATATTAAAATGTTTTTAATAAAAATGTTTTTTTTTTATTATTATTTTTAAAGATTGCATATTTCTTGTTTTTTCCCCAAAGATTCTCCTTTGCAGATTGAGTTTTACAAATTGCATTATTTTCTAATAGCATTTTACAGATCCCATTCTCCTCACTTCTCAAGGCGGTGAGGAGCAAAGACACATTTCTATTGGTCTGCATGAGGTTACCGTAGTGACAAGGATTTTATTGGTCATGATCTGTAATGATAATGATGCAATCTGTAAAACTAAACCTGAAAACAAATAAAAAGAAATCTAATCATTTAAAATCTAAAAACAAAAATGAGAAGAAAATAAGAAAATATCTGTAAAAACTAAAAAAAAAAACGAAATAAAATGTGAGAAAATAAAGTTCATATTAACATTTCCAACCGGTCAGTCTCCTCACATATCATAATGTCAGCTTGCTTTATACCTTCTAAAATGTTCCAAATGTGTTAAACACGGTGGTGGAGGGTTGATGATGCAGATTTGTTTAGCAGCCCTCTGCTCATTTAATCAAACATGATTTCCTCCATACCAGGGGTTCTAAAAGTGGGGGTCGGGACCCCTTACAGGGTCTGAGATGGTTTTCACAATCAGTTTGATGTGATCTTTCAGGTACATAGGGGCTAAAATAGATACATAAATACATTAATGTGAATAAATCCATAACATTTTGTCCAATATGTGAAAAATATAAATTTAACTTTTAGGGTCACAGGCTGAAATGTGGGAACTCCTGCTCTGTAGCACATAATCAATCCATCAGACAGCTGCAGCTTGGTCCAAACTGGGTCATCAACCCGAACAATAATCCCAAAATACTGAAGCAACTATACAACAGAACTGCTTAGAAGGAAAGGACTAAAGCTTAGAACGGTTTAGTCAAAGCCCAGACCGCAACAGATCATTTCCTCAGGAGAAGATCATGACAACCTGACAGTCATATTTCAAATAAGGAAGACAAACTTTCAAATCGGTTTCCTGTTGTTTTTATTGATCACATTATTCAGCTACATACATTTTACAAATATTGAAAATCCTTTCATAATTTGAACATATAGTCATACAATATGAGAACTATGGATGACATTCCTTATCCATCTTCACGTTCCATCAATATTTTCACTTCAGCAGGGCAGGCTGTTAAAATCTGGTTTCATCTTTAAGGGGATCAGGTATGAACTTTATCTGGTCAAACAAAGAGTGAAAAAAATGATTCAGCACCATAAAACTACAGCTGTAGTCAAAATGTCAGCTTCGTCTGAGAGAAAGGAGGTAAATGAATCCTACGAGCAGTGCTGTTAATGCTACATGTGAGCAGGCTTGTTAAATTAGTCCTCTGTTCCTTCATGATGGTTAATTCTAATGTTAGTCTTCAAGTGCTGCACAGTATGTCAGTCCTGATGTGATAAATCCCATTTTTTTGACATGCACTGACAGAATAATACAATATTAAATGTCACATTTCTGCTGCTTTTTTATACCAAGCATTGTTCCAAAATAATCCGAAGATATGTGATAAGAGTTCCATTTATTCTTTACCAACAGAAATACAAAGGAGTGTTTAATGACTGATAAATAACTAAAGCTAATAACTAATAACTTCAATAACTAAAGTATTTTTCATCAGTTCTATCTTTAAACACCTCATTCATGGCTGGAAGATGCTCATTTAGATGGCTTAGAACCCAGAACTTTTCATTTTTACTCAAAATGAAGATTTCCCATGATGACTGCAACCTTCTGCATAAAAAAATGTTTTTGTTTTACCATCTTTTCCTGAGCGGTTCCCTGTTTTTATTCACTCCAGAGTCATATAAGGCCATAGTTATCAAATTGTGACAAACCCAGTGCCACTGATGGCCCTTAGGTTGACTCTAGAGGAAGAGAAAATGTTATGGTGTCAAATATTCTCAAGTCTGAAGTCACGAAGCCAATGAACTTAGCTGATGGCGACTCATAGATATTAAATTAATGGGGAAATGGATATTTATTGTAGTTATTTAAGTTCAAAAGGTCATTAAGATTCATTACCGATGGATAGATTCATTTAAGTGTTAAGCCATTTAAGCAGAAATTTCACATAAAATAAATTTTTTAGCAAAGATGTTACCCTACGCATGACTGCTGACAGCTGTCCAGCAGAGAGTTGGTAAAGACGCAGACTGTAAGTTTTATGGAAAGTTGAGTGGAAGGAAAAACTTGTAGAAGGGATAACTGCAGGTAAGGATGTTTTTGTGGGATTGTGGAGCAAAACCATTTCAAACATTTAGGTGAGATTATCCATGTGCACCACAGCTGCAGTCAGAGCCGCCAGAGGAAAAAATATCAGGTGTTTTGACGACATCAGAATATTTTACAGCACTTAATGCTGACATGCTTTGTGGAAAAGCTGAATTGATTTACTCATGGGATATGGCACCTGCCAACATTTTCAGAATTATTATTATTACTTTTTTCAGTTTTGGGTTATTTGAATTACTGGTGTGAATTTATCATTTTCTTTAATAGGAGGGTATGTAAACTTTTAAGCACAACTGCATGTAAATTTCCCTTTTATTTTCAATACTGAAATAAACTAAATATTCTATGATTTCAAAATGTATCCATAGGCCCTTTATTTACAGAATCCTCTGAATATGAATGTAGAAAATACTTGAAAACCAACAAAACCATGTTTCCTTTTTTTTAATGTATCTATCCAAATAACAAAGTTACATGTTTACTGATAGGATGCCAAAGGTGCAACGAAACTGTTACTCTGGCAGCCATTGCTGCTGTTTAAACAGATTGCAGCCATATTGGATTTTGAGGCTGCTGTTGGTCAGAAAGCTCTCTTATTTTCTTCCTTTCTATCCAGACATAAAGGGAGTGTCCTGTTTTTTTTCCAATTAAAACCCAATAACACCGATTTAATATTAAATATCTTTATTTTAGCAGCAGTATGTTTGCTATAATATATTTATTTAGGATAGTGTAGATGTTTTTAAACTAGATATTTGAGTGTTTTGTGCAGATTATTTAAAGTGACAAATCATTTTGGATGGTTTTCATGTTTGGCTTATTTTATTTATGTATTTTATTGAATACTTGGTGTCTCACAACAACAAAAAAATAGCCTTACAGTGCTGACCAGGACTGAACATCCCCTCATGGGACATTAATGTCCTCTGATTCTTATTTTTTTTATGGTGCAGTTAAAATGTCTAAAATGATCATAACAGGGTCTGTTCATTTTGGTGATTTTCTCTTGTTATGCATACAAGCTCAAATATATGCATACACCCCCATACTGCAAAGATGTATCTAAAGAAAAACATTTATTGAAAAGGGTTTATTTAAGCAAATAAGTATAACAAATAAAATTTGTATTTTGGTCCTCAAATAAGCTAATTATACATACCCTCACTTGAAATAGGTTAACAATATTTTTTTCTTATTGAATTTGGAAAACAATCTTATTCTATCGACAGATTATTTAAATTGCCTACTAAAATCAAATACACCAATTATAAGACATTTTTACTTACTTTTAGTTCTTTTTGCAGTGGTATTTTTTAAATATCCTTTTAGCATTTTGCAGATAAATCTAATAATTTTATTCACAGAACTTAAACTTTGGCCATATTCTTCTCTAAAATCCCTTCTTTCAGTAGACAACGTAAAAACATTTCCAACCGGTCAATCTCCTCGCATATCATCAAGCCCATAATGTCAGCTTGCTTTATACCTTCTAACACCAGTTTTGTGTGTTTGGGTTCATTGTCCTGTTGGAACAACAAGCTGTGTCCGGCTCTTCTGACGCAGTCTGAACGAATTGGGTTAGGATGTACGAGAATCAACCGGTACCCATCAGAAATTAAAACATGATGCAGTATCATCATTATCTACAGTGACATGATCAGGGCCAAAAGACGAAAGCTCCACACTTCATTTAAAATGTGTAGCTGAACACCTGAACAAAGCAACTGCTTTCTAAAGAAACGTTTTGTAGTTGGTTCAGGTGTCAAGGTGTCGATGAAGGGAAAGCTTCAGAGCCTGTAAAGCATCTAATAAGCTCAACACTTTATTATCTTCCAATGGGAAATTTTGGTTTCAATAAATAAAGTTTACAGACATTTTTTTAGGATGGATAGCTTTACCCTCTTTACGACTCTAGATCTATCTATATAGATCCATATAGTTTTGCTGCACATCCTAACCATCAGGCTCTGAGTCTGTTTTGATTTTGATAATTAAGGCATAGATTTGCTTCCAAACTGATGTTTTGTCTTAAATCAATAAATTGCAAATTCAAAAAATTACACCCAGTAAAACAAAGATCCCAAACACTCTGCAAAACCAGTTTCTGAAGAAATAAAACAGACTGGTAATGCGCTACTAGAATGACCCAGACTTGGTAGAAATGAATCAACTTTATTGACTTAAAATAAAATCTACAATTTCTGATGAGATGTGTGCTAAATTAGTCAATCAACTTTATTGAGGTCTACTAGAAAAAAAAAATTCTGACTTGCAAATGGATAATCTAATGCTAAATAAAGGAATATATAAACATACCGGTATGTTTGGGACTGCAAGTTTATTTCTGACCCAATCAAGATTACAGAAAAAAATAGAATAAATTGAAATTGTTGCTCTCAAATTTCTGTTATAACAAGTACTTAAAAATAATTTAAAGCATGAAATAGATGCTAATAATGAGCGGATGCAAACTTCTGACCTACAGTCTGTTTTCACTAAAAGATGCAGCCAGCAAAAGACTTCTTAGTTTTCACATTTTCCAAATATTCTACATTAATTCATCCATTTAAAACTAAAACAGTACAAACAGAAACAATCAATGTGTAGAGCAAACAACCTAAAGTGCCTTACAACTAATAAGATGCAGAAAAACAACAAAACTGTCAAAATACAGGAAACATAAAATACAAAAAAAAAAACTAAAACTCTAACATTTAATAAAAGAAAACTGACTCATTTCAAATTATTCTGCATATTCTGTGATACTTTATTGAAATTATTCCAAACAAATTATGGATGTTTCAGCATAATGTTGCTGAAACATCCAATGATTATCTGCAGAAGCGTGCATTCAAAGCAAATAATAGCTAAGCTCTTCCTTAAAGGTAAAATTTATCAGCTATTTCTTCACTTTTCTGTTACATCTTAAATTGTTGAGAGTTTGCAGTATAATTTCTGAGAATAAACTTTAGCTTTTGCCTCCCAGCAGATAAACATCACAGTTCAGCTCAGGTAACTTCAAGTAAAGTCTTAATGCTCATAACTTCTCTGGTTCCTGAATCAGCAGCTATGATGCGCAGCGATGAACCAGCCAAACTGAGGAAGACCTGGAAACTGATGCACTAAACCCCAGAGCCGCACTCTGCCTTTAAGATTTAACACTAAAGATCACGGCGTTTCTTTCTCACTTTGGATTAATGCAAAGAAGAGAAACAAAGAGAAAATGGGAGGATGGAGGCTTTTTTTCCCCCTGAATTTAAATATTTTTTCCTCTTTTAGGCTCATACTCATGAGTCTGTGACGTGTTTATCGGATTTAACGGCAGTGTTTCAGATTTTTCTCCCAATGACTGTCCTTTAACATGTTTGAGCATTTTTCTTTCTCCATTTCTCATCATCTAAACTACCAATAAAGCTTCTTCACAGGAGCATTTGGGGAATTTTAACCCAATAACTTGATATATTTCAGTATCAAAAACTGAGGTGTGTGTAAGCATTACTAATGTACCATATGTGAAGGCCAGTGTTGCCACCGGGCCTTAATGTTTTGGGGTGTGTCTGTGTGTGTTCAGGGGGGGTCTGGATTCTCAGTGAAGCGTTAACCCTGTGCTGCGCAGACGGCTTCGCACCCAAACGTGTTTTCTCCGCTGTAGGCCACGTACAGGAAGCCGTCCTCGTCCTTCTCCTTGTCGTACAGCTGGCCCATCGTCAGACTGCGGCACAAAGCAGAGACACCACCAGAGGTTATCGCTACGCTCCTAAACACTGTTGAAAGCTTAATTCTAACATCGCATGAGACTGAACCTGGAGCTTTGGGTCAAATTAAACCTGTAGGGTCCACATGTTTGGTAAAAAAAAAAAACATGGATCCAGAACTAAGATAAACTGATTTTTTTTTAGAGATTTTAAAACTTAAAATGAAGAGACCGATGTCTAAAGGATGGTTAAGGGCTGGTTGTTTCACAAAACAGTTTTCACAAAACATCAAACCTCCAAGATGCTTTCAGTAAATGTCAGAAAGGCCTTTTCACTGCTGTTGGTCAGCAGTGGTTTTCACTTTGGAACTCTAAAGGGACTCGAACATATTTGCTTAAATATTTTAGATGCAAATTAAAAACTAGATTTCCCAGACAACAGCTGGACTATCATCACCTTTGAGAGAAGGAGGAGGAGTGGAGCTGTCAGTTATAAGAGATTATCAGTGTGATGCAAATACAGGAAGAGGAGAAATTATCCGCATCACTGTTTTAAAATGAGATTAGTTTAGGATTACAGTGTTTGAAACTGAAGGTTTGGCCTAATCCTCTCACACAAAGGAAACTGGTCAGCGAAGTCGGACCTTCCCGCTCTTTAGTTAAACATCCGGGTGGATAAAGTCTCTGCAAACAGGACAGATGGATGCAAAAGGTAAACCTCTGGTTTATTCCTCTGACAGCAGGATTACCAGCCCTAATAAGGAAATAAATGTAGCAGACATAAAAACCTGCATTCATTTGTTTATCTTGTACCACTATCTACTATGGGGCGATATCTGATCACTCGTTTAGTGAAAACATGTCGCCATCAGTGGCAGCAGATGTTCAGGTGTCTTGATCACAGCGGGGTTGGCAGTGTGGACCTCACCTGGACTGGGGGACAGTTTTGTCAACAAACAGGAAGATGGCTTTCTCTGAGGGCAGCTGAATGCGTTTGCGGATGATCCACATAAACTGGGCCACCGTGATGTCCGAAGGCACCAGGTACTTCCTCTTATCGATGTCGACGATCTGAGAACCGGAGACCTTCTCCACGATCACCTGGAGGCCAAAGCAGGACAGAGGTTACGAACATGCTGACAGCTTCAGCACGCTTCAATGCACCATAGGTAAAGAAAGCATTTGTTCTGTTGGCTGTCAGGGAAAGTTCAGGAGTAAAGTCCTGAGCAAAGCTTTACCAGTTAATCCTTATGGAAACTGAAAGGATCTCCACCTAAAATGTCAAGAAGACTTAATAGTCGAAACCAGATCAACTTTCAGGACACGCCTGATACTGTACACTGTATACTTTATAAAAGATTACACAAAATCACTATTATAATCCAATGAACTGAACAGTAATCATTGGTTTCATGGGTGTAGTTGGTTGGCATCACACCAGCTGTTCATTAAAAACCTGTTTTTGAGCTGAAGGTCAAAAGCTCTTAAACCTTAATTAAAGGTATAGTGGAATTTTTGAAATGACCCGCCCTCTCCAATAAAAAAAAAAAAATTCACATGCACAACTCTGTACCTGCTCCTGAGATGGAACGCCTATTAAAAGCGTGCAAGAGTGTGCACAAGCCCATTTCTTATCGTGCACGCTCTGTTTTAAAGTTAATGTTTGCATTCATTGCTTAAAAAATGACAATAATGACAATAATGACAATAACATCTGAAGTGGCTGCAAACAGCCATGTGTGTAAAAGAAGACAGAATCAAAATGAAGCCCCATGAGATGATGCATAGGTCCTATCTATGAGATCAACGTTTTTTAGACTTCATCCTCACCTGCTGCCAGATGATTAACACCAAATAGATACATTAACACCAAATAGATACGTTGATCCACTACCATTTAAGAAATATACCTGTAATACGTAAAACTCAAAGATATAAAGAGGGTTTATTTAACATTTACACATGCTGACTTATTTAAATACACAAAAAAGAGCTGGCTATCCATTTACAATGATTAAATAGATGAACTGTTGAAATATCTGAATAGTGACTGATGACCTCATGCAGAGATGCTGCAGACTGAAAAAAAGATCATTTTATTAGATATTTGTTTAAGTTAATAAATGTAAAAGATAAACTAAGTGTTTGAAGGTTTCCCTAATGATAGCAACAGAAAAAACTTTTTATCTTGAAGGACAAAATGAAGCCGGTAGTCTGCAGCATGTTATCAGTAGCCGGATGGAAATTTGGAAGGAAATTTGTTTTTTGCAGCATTTAAGTAAGAGACCAAAAATTTCACAATTCAACACATAAAAGATGTATATAGATATTTATATTAAGTATATTAGATAAAAATATATTAGATGTTAATCACAAAAATTATTACATTTGCAAAAAATAAAGGTGAAAAAATAAATCAAATACTACTCTATACATGGTAAAAGTATGCATGATTTGCATTTATTTCATGTTACCAGCTCTAATTCCTATGTTGTTGCATCTGTAAGGGTCACTGGGCCAGGCTCACTGTGCTATTCAGCCATTTCATGATAGACTGTAGCATAGAAAATATAAAATATTCAAATACTTACATGTGATTATCCAACAGAGTTTAGTTTTAATAAGTAATTTTAACATTTAATTACCACTTATTATAGATAGTGATCATTAACTAATGTTATTATTACTCTGATTAATATTTCTTATCCTTAAGGTCTTAAAGATTTAATGCATTTTTTTAATCTTTTCATTCCATGACTTCCAGCCCTTCATAGAGAAATGTGGGCAGCAGAATTTAATTGTTTCTGTGGGAACCAAACTTTATTTGGTCCAAATATTACAAGAAATCTCAGTTTGTTGCATTTATTGAGAGTCAGCACATAGGTAGCGCTTTTCAGTGATTCCTGCTCTGCATAAAAACAAACATAAACAGCCATTATCTTGTTAGCTATCTGCTGCAGTGATGGCTGTCCATCAGTTCTTTGGCTTTAGTGAGCACAGAGGGGAAAGATCTCCTTTTATAGCAGCTTTTGAATGCGGTTAAAGGCACATACATTTTTTTTCTAACTAAACCCCTTTTCATTGTCTTGCTGTTATACTCTGGAACACAAGACCAAATTTCAATGTCAGATATTTCCATCTCTGCTTTTATTTTTAGATATCGACATCATAAACCCGCCACAAGCAGCTTATATGGAGGAAGATCTGATACGAAGAAATCCTGACCTGTTTTTTCCACAAGTTCTGAGTCAAAAAACTAAAGGAATGAGAAATTTTGAAACTGACAGCAGGAGTGACACCTTCTACGTTGACCCCCGGTGAGCTCTCTGAGCTGACACTCTGCTGATTCATGGCCAGAGGAGCTGTCAGGACTGTTTCTGCAGCTCAGCTGGGAGATTTCCCATGTATGGAGGAGATGCTGGGACAGATCGTGTCACACTGAAAGGATTATCTCCCCTTTCAGTGCTGGAAACACCTCAGGATCATATCTGCTTTACACCTGATACCATGAAGATTTTTATACATTCAAATCATTACGGACACATTTAAGATGCATAAGCAGCAAACGCTGGTTCATGCATTTGACATCCTTAATTCAGATTTGATATTTTAATCCATCAGAATACAGTTTGGTATAAATTAACATAAATAAAAGCACTGAAGGCATTATGAATTAATTTGAATAATAATTAAAACCAAAAGCTGCTCAAAATTGCAGTTATGGTATAAAAATATAAAAGTGCTGGTATTAAGTCCAGTCAGCTGATAAGTTACATCATTAATACAAAGAAAAAGTGTAAGAGTATTGTGTCTTACACCCACTGATGCAGATCTGACTACAGTTCATATAAAGGATCTGCTGCATTGTAAATAACGGGCCTCAGTTTGATATTACAAATCTGTTATTCTATTAATGCACCTTTGTTCCATGTAATAATCTGACAAAAATCCATTCATTATAACTACAAAGAAACTTTTTTTTAAAATAAAGCTCAAAATTGGAAGAATGTAAATTATTGATCCAAAACAATTTTTACTTGCAATATAACATTCATGACACTGAAAATCAATCTTTTTAATTTTATAAAGTTTTGTGACATTACCATCAGAATTTTTTATTGGCTTTTACCAAACAGAAAGTTTTGTAAAACCCAAACCATTCTTTAGCAGAAATATGTTAAAGACAATAAGGCAATTTTCCAGTGATAAGTTTGGCTTGTCTTTGGCGTGCCCTCATTTTTATCTGTCGGCTCTCTGTCCTTCTATCTCAACCACAGCTGCCTAAAATAAAAGAGCACCCCTCCCCCACAACTCACCGGTACTCTGTCCGGGTATTTGTTGCGTATTTTGGCTGACTCCACACATCGGTGCTCTGAGGGAGAGACAGCAAACAAACAGGAAGTCAGAGATTAAAGGGATGAGTGAGGCCTCTTGGGATTCTCTGGCTGCTGCCTTGCAGCCAGGCCTGGTTCAGTACAGAGCTCAACAACAAAACACAAAACAAAGCAGTCAGAAAAGCTGATGGATGTGATACAAAATGCAAATTTCCCATTATGAATTTCTCACCCTTTCTAAGGTATAGCTAGACATATACATTGTTGTTACAGAGCACAAAAGCTGCTGCAGCAGGCAGAACAAGTGCAGTGCAGAGGTCAGGGAGGGGAAGGTGATAAAATGTGGAGAACTCATTTAGTTTCAGGCTCACATTAGCCTAGATAGGGGGCCTAATTTTAGGTGTTTCTCTAAAAAAGGAGACTGGAGGTAATCTGAAGACTTTCAAAATAAAACTGATTTAAGAAATATATTACTCAAATATAGAATATTATAATAAAATATCAGACATCAGATAAAATAATAAAATTATAGAAGAGAAATTCCTGAAGCCCTATTTTGTGTCTAGTTACAGATAAATGTAGATTTATAATGGATTAAATAGGCTTGCAGTAAAGTGTTAATAAGTTAAATCCTGATCGTTCTCAGTATTTCGACAAGATTATAGAAATAAAAGGTGTATTGTGTATTGTATTGTAGTATCAGTGGTTTATGGGTGCTGAGCATAATAAATTTTAATGTTTTCTAATTACATTTTCTACATTTTAGAAACCTGCTCAGTGCATTTTCCCCAATACTGAGTCCATTATTCACTAATGCATTGTATCTGAACACTTTGGCAAAATATCCCAACCAGTAAAGCAAAAAGCAGCCTTTCTAGCAAAATGGGTAACAGAACATTTCTAATTGTTTAGGACCCGAAGTCCTATCCCCTAAATCAAAATTCAGATTTTAATATCCTTTGGCTTGCTGGCTGGTATGCTGCTCTCCCCTCTTCTCTTTTCCTTGTCTGATCAGTCTTATCTCGCTCATTTTTGTTCTCCTCCTCCATATATAGTGCAATTAAGCAAGTATTAAACCACAGAGATGATTAGGAACATGTAATACAGATGTCTTTTTTTTAGACAGATTTTTACTAATGTTATATGTATGGGCGCTTCTGGAAAACATTTAATATGGGGCAATCACATACTGAATGGAAAGTTTTTCTATGTCAGCTTAACAACTACTTTTTTTTTTTTGCTGACCCTGTGCTTTTCACACACCTTGCTCATCTCCTTCCCCATGTAAACGCCTCTCCCTCTTTGGACTGGCAATCATAAAAATGATTTTATTTAACCAGATGAATACGTACATTTGCGCTTGAATGTTTAGATACGCCCCTACTAAAAAAAAAGCTAAATCCAAACAGTAATTCAAATAACAAGAAACAGAAAAATATAAATAAAAAACAATTAAATTATGATTTAATGGATTATTATTTAACTGTAATTATTATAGTTTAAGAAATAATATTATATTATGATTAATATTATTAAATCTTACTTGATTAAATGTTAAATGTTAATGAGCATCCACCTTGGCTTTTATAAACACATGTATATTCAGCTCAATTCAGTTTATTTATAAAGCACCAATTAACAAAACACGTCATCTCAAGCACTTTACAGTTCACCAGATCATACAGTCAAATTGATTCAAAGTTTTCTATATAAGGAAAACCAGTTGATTGCATCGACTCAAATGCAATCCCTCACACTAAGCATGCTTGTAGCAACAGTAGAGAGGAAAAACTCCCTTTTAACAGGAAGAAAGCCTCCAGCAGAACTAGGCTCAGTGTGAGCGGCCATCTGCCGAGGCCGACTGGGGTTCAAGGAGACAGAAGCAGAGATAGAACAAGCAGCTGTAAAAGGTGGCCCTATCCAGGAAACACACAGCCAGGCAGACGAGCTCTGAGCCAGGATGAAGAGAGCACATCCAGCCAGTCACAGTCAGAGAAACAGGACTACACTGAAAAACAGGCGGTCTTGAAACAAAGGTGTGGATAACAGCGGCTAGCTGTGCATGCACAGGGATGAGAGTGGTCCTGAACACCTGTAAGGTTAGATAAATCCTACCAACACATAAAGAGTAATCCAAATTAGTGTTGGAATTAAGTATTAGTTAATCATTGTACAACACTTTCGGTTTAAAGCCAGACAGTCGCACTACTGTCATGGGTCATTCTGCAGAGAGCTGCCTCCCTCCCCTAGAAAAGGAAGGCAGAATGATGGATCAAACCATTTCGGAGGCGGGGGTGGCGTAAAATATTACTTTTTAAACAGGGTACTGTATAGTTTTTACACTTTTATAGTTTTTGCGTTTTGTTGTGTTTTTTTATATATAAAAAAACGCATACAGTATTAAAAACAATCAGGTTTTAGGCGTGTTTTGAATCAATTTAGTGCTGCTTCAACGCCCCAAAAATGGGCAAAATGCATATACATTGAACTAAATTGCTTTCCTAAACGTAATTAGCTCTTAAATGGCAGTAAATTCGTGTTATTTAAGGTTTCTCTTGCCATTAAGGTCAAGCCATTATTGATTTAGAGCATTAATCTGCAGGTTGCAACGAAAACAAAAAACAAACGTGCAATGATGCACCGATGAGGAAAAACGGGGGAAAAAAACTAAATGTGGAGGGTAAATAAGAGAAAGGAAATAAGAAATGAAGATGCGTGACACGACAAAAATCAACCCCGTTTCATAACAATCCAACCCCCTTCTTTACCGAGGGAATGGTCCTCTTTAAACATCCATTTCATCTTTGCTGGATCCCCGAACCGAGGCGTGGCGGTGAAATCTTTAGGATCCGCTGGGAATGTGGGTAAAACGTCAAAGGGAATCCAAACAAACGCGATCAAAACAAAACGTCAACAAGAAGTCTGCCTTTCAGCTGTCCGTCCAACACAGAGTGACGTCATTTTCTGACAGCGCCACGGTGCCTTCAGGTGCACCTCTAGACAGTCAGTACATCCGGAATTTACACCGCCATCGTAGTAAATTAGAACACTGTGCTGAATTAAACTCATATATCATTGAATCCATTACACACAGTGACACACAGTACTTCATATGGGGCCCACCCAGAAAATGTTGCTTACGGGCCTATTGTTGTGTCGTTACGCCATTGATAACATCTATATGATATAGAAACTCTCATAGATTTGTAAGCAAATGTGCCCTAACAATGTAAGCCAGAGAGAAAGAAAAGAGAAAGGTAAAAAAAAAGAAGACAGAAATAAACGAAAAAGAAATGTAAAAATAAAGGCTACAGAACCAGAACAACCTAAAAAAATGATCTAAAATTTGTAGAAAGCTGTCAGGAAGGAAATGACAAGCACATATATATTCACGTATGATGTCTCCAAAACGCTTGAATATAAACGATACAATATTGCAAGTAGGCGTACTTCCATAATGCAAAGTTTTATTCATTTTAACCATTGCAGATGATTTTGTAACGAAACTCCAACGGGACTTGAACGCACCTTGAGCGCTAACCCTGGCAGCCATGGAAACGTGTGGACGCTTGCTAGCTAATGCGCTACAAACTAGCTACCGCAGCTAATACCTGTAAACGATCATAACTGCCAACGTAACGCGACGCTAGATGCATCTAGATGGACGTTACTCAGCAGAGCATAACTTTATTAACTTTACAGTTTGTTGTGTGAATGTTTGATTATTTTTAGAGCAGTTGATAGCATCCGCGCTAGCGTTAGCATCCCACCGATGGCTTTCTATGAAGTGTACTCTCATCCTGCTGTGATTCGCTACAGAACCAGCGTTTGTACAAAGGCCACCCTGTTCATGCTGGTTGTCCTGTGCCTCACATACATCGCACCTCTGCTGGTCGCTTACAGAAGCCAAGGTACTGGAATGTTTATTACTCTCATATTAAAAACATGGGAAAGAAATAGCTCATAATGCCAAAGTATCTAACCGTGGCATCAGTTTGCTAAAGATATAAAATTAGAAAGATCTGTTTTCATAATAAATTCTTGCATTTGTATTTTTTATACAGATAAATCATGTGTGATTGTCCGTCTCTAGAGGAAATCAATGCAAATTTACCCTATGATGAGACAGAGAGATTGCAAACAACCAAAAGCTCCATCTTGAAGGGTGCTAGGCGCAGTAAGCTTGCTAAATATTTGTAACTTTGATAGTATTTCTAGGAAAACAGACAGATCCACCATTAATCCTGCAAAAAAAAGTAAGATAAAATTCTCCTCTCTTTTCAAAAATAAATGGGGGTATAACATGAGATTACTGCCCCAATGATGTCTGGACAGAGGGCTGATAAGACTAATGTTAAGAGAGGAACACATCATTCCACCCAAATGCCAGCTGTCTGGTACAGCAGTGGTGGGCTGATGATTTTGGTTTTCTTTCTGTTTCAGGTTTCTGGATTAAAAGAAAGACCTATGAAGAACAGCCTGTGGTGAGATTTCAGTACCAAACCCTGCTGCTTGTAGCCACCAGCTTACAAGGAGACTATGTTGCCTGGAGCACGTTCCCTCATCTGAACAACATGCTTGAAGCCAACCTGAGGATTCCTGCTGTCTCCGTAAGAACAAAATAATGCACCTTTAAAAAAAACACACACACTAATGTAATATTTAAGCATTCATCTTCAAGCAGACAAAACTATCACAGAATATATATATATAAAACATGTTTATTATTTTATCAGTGCTGGACTGACAAGGTGAACTTGGATCAAAGTATTTTATTTACTGAAAAACCGTATAACTAACAGGAAATTCACCATCTTCTTCTCTACTGTCATGTCCATGAAACTCTTCTTAAAAAAATATTTATTGATCTTTTGTGAAATTTCTTAAGCACACTGAAGTTTAATGATTGACATAAACCCAGCAGATTGCATTGAGTCAGTGAGCTGCAGAATTAACTTTATCTTTAGGGATGGTGGGCAGTTGTTTTTTTTAATAATTAAACTGTATTGATCTCACATTGGAGAAATTAAACTCTGCTTTTAACCCATCCTCTTGGGAAGCAGTGGGCTGCCATCGTGGGGCGCCCGGGGAGCAATCGGGGGTTAAGGGTCTTGCTCAGAGACCCAGAGTGGCAGTGTGCGGGATTGTGGCTCAAACTCAGAACCTCAGGATTCCAAGCTCTATACCTTCACCGCCACTGCCTAGGCCGCCACTCCCTTTAGGAGTGTTGTTGACTTTGCAGCAAACCTTCATCATGAACATTTGTATAGTGAAAAGACAAATGTAAAGGTCCTATGTCCTGTTTTTTTAAGCTCTACAAAGTCACCTGTTGGCAAATGTATGACGAAATAATGCCTTTACTACTATGTGAGTATTAATTAACTCTGCCAAGGAGGTTATGTTTGTTAGATGGTTTGTTAAGAGGATAACTTTTGATTACATTTTTACCAAAGGTGCACCTCATGCTGAGTAAGAATCCATAAAATTTTGGTAATGATTGTTGACAGAAACAAAATGTCTAAGTCTTATTTAACAAGAAATTGAGATCCGGTGTTTCTTGTTCCATCCAGCATTTATTAACATTTTGCAAGGGAAAAATAAGCAACATAAATTTGCGAATATTCCCGCCTGTTCTGAATCACACAGGTTTTCACTAAATACTTAAGAAGCACAGGGAGAGATTCTCACAGACACAATAGACCCTTTCTTACATAGATAGTTTCTCACAAACTTGTTTATTTGTTTATTTATTTGGATCCCCCATTAGCTGTCAGTAATTTGACAGCTATTCTTGCTGGGGTCCCAAACTGAAGCATTTGTTGAAATAACCTTGAGTGTAAAGGAGTCTAGCCTTCTGAGGCCTCAGTAAGATGAGATCCACATTCAGCCTTGTCTGGAAGGCTCTCTGTTAGAGCAAACACTTTTAAAAGTAAAGAAAAATCCGCACTCATAATTAACAGGAGAAAGGATGTGATAATAAACTGATTTTTTTCTAACAACAGTTCTACCATTTCGATTCTAAAACAAGA